GCAGGACCAGTGTGTTAATTTGGCTAATTCATGAACAAATCATATATGCACAGCCAGTTGTTGGAAATCCAACGATAACTAAAAACCCTTGTTTTTTTTGTCCATTTGTTTTCCATTCACACACAATAAGAAAATAGATTGGTCATAAACACTCACAAGCGCCTGTCTTGTCATTTTGCATTAGTACCACATGTATTTAAAACAAAAAAAAAGTGCAAACTTCTCGGACACAAAATGGCACTTGAGCAAAGAAATGTAAAATAACAATAAAATGTACATAAATACAACTGTATCCATTTATTTGGATAAGAACCAATTAAAAATAATGAAAAGAGTGCCAATTACCTGTTCAAAAACCATGCGGAAAAGAAACAAATCTTTTGAGGAAAAAAAAAAGTACTTTGTTTTTAAAAACAGTACCTCTAATTTTATGAGAATGAAGTCCTATTTTTGGAGCCAGAAGTTGTACGCCCATAAGGAAAATAATCGTCTTTTGTTTTTTTTTTCAAGAAAAAAGTACAAATCTTTTATGAGAACTAAGTCGTCATTTTTTGGGAAAAATTGTATTATTTAAAAAAATTTTAAAATAGTCATCATATGAAAATGAAATTATATATTTTAAAGAAAAATATCCAGACAAAAATAGTAATCACTTGAAATACTGTATATAAAACTTTTCCAGAAAAAAATATTTTGGGTATTTTTTTGCCTAGGGGAAAAAAAGAGTAATCTAAAGAAAAAAAACCTGAAAAAAAGCAAAAAGGTAGTTGTTCCTTTTTTTTTGTTGAAAATTGTAATTTTGTGTGGGTGCCAGCGTGTTTGGCGGTGAGCTGACTATTTGCAATTTCGAGAAAAAAGTTGGGGTGTTATGTAAAATTCACATCTTAAAATATATATTTTTTTACTCAATATATTTCACCTTTCAACTTGTTGCGTTGCCCCTAAAAAAGAGCACTTCATTCTCATAATATTATGACTTTTTATGGAGAAAATGTGACTTTTTAAAATTTTCTCATAACATCACCACTTTCTTCTTGCAGTATAATTATTATTATTTTTTTTGTGACGCCACCGTAAAAAAAAAAACAACAAAAAAAAAACATCAAATTAAACCATCGTTCTCTGGACTTCACTGTGATGGATGATGCGTGCCTCTCAACACTGTGGAAAAGCAAAAAAAAAAAAAAAAACCCCAAAAAAAATTGTCAAAAACATGCCATTCGAAGAAAAAGCAACGTAAAACAGAAGCGGATGGACATTCAAAGCCTTTCAAAGCCTATATTGTGGAACCCCAGCAACAATAAAAATGAAATCCATTCATACATTGTTTTTTAAAAAAAACGTGTATATAAGATGTCATTCTCTCCTGATGCCATACAGGACAGCCTACCATCGCTAGCAATTGTTGCAGCCTTCAACCGTTTCCTGCACCCAGTAACCCGAGAACATGATAAGCTGTCCCCGCAAGGGTTCATCTACATAACTTCATGGCCGGCCACCTGCTCGGCCGTCTCTGAGGATCGGCGTGTTGACAACAACACAATGTTAGCTCATTTCGTTAAGCCTACCATCGCGAGCAATTGTTGCAGCCTTCAACCGTTTCCTGGACCCAGTACCCCGAAAACGTGATAAGCTGTCCCCGCAAGATACCTTCTTCTTCGGTTCTTCTTTCTCTCGTGAATTTTATAACGCTTGGCAAGACAACCTTTGGTGCATTACCGCCACCTAGCGGACTGGCGTGTAGAGCGATTACAACACAATACATCTGCATGCAGTTGCAGCTCTAACAAAATTACAGGACCTTATTAGAAAGGCAACAAATTATACTAAATCAAAACAAACAATGAATATCCCACATTTATTTATTTTAACTTTGACCACCCAGGCGGGAATGTTTGTTGTTTGAAGGGGCATGTTGAAGAGGCATCGTGCTGTGATCGATGGAGATACTGTAGTTAGGAAACGGTCCATCCGCGTCCGCCCCCTTTCAACAAAAAATGTTTTCAAATTAAAATGGTTTGCACTCTCCCCGACATCCACCGTACTTGTTTACTGCCTCTTGTAATGCCATTTAGAGAGGGTTTTTTTTGTCTCCTTAACTTAAGCCTTAAGCCTTAAGTTTGAATTATTCATAGCTAGTATTTTTAAAATAAAGCTAAATGTTCTGTAAAGCACTGTGTTACAGCTACAGCTATTATGAAAGATGTAAAGATGTATTGGATTGACTACGTGGGCGGCACGGTGTCGACTGCTTTAGCACGCCGGCATCACAGTACAGTACAGAGGTCCAGGGATCGATTTCCTCCCACATTCCAAAAACAATGTGTTGCAACGCCTGCTGCTCGAAAACAGCTGGGATAGGGTCCACCACGCCCGCGACCAGTGTGAGAATAAACTGATTAGAAAATGGATGGTTGGATCGTCTATTTTGCTTCGTGTGTAGTATTTCTCCTCACCACAAGGTGGCGGCGAAGGCTCAAAATTCACGGACCACTTCATTAGGTACACCTGCTCTACCGAAAACAAATCGATTGGCTGTTACGATGATAAAACCACGGTATTTGTTTTGGAAACCATTATTTATTATTTCAACTGTATTCAACCCCAGAATATAACGAGAAGAATGAGATTGGTATGGAATAAGATGGGGAAAATAAGTCAGAAAGTAACAGTCATCCAGCTAAAATATTACTATAGGAACGAGTGAAAAGAATTGAGCCGGTCCACAAACAATTGCAGTTTCAGGCGTCAGTAAAAATTTTAAAGCTGTGTCAATCGTCTGGAAAGTACGCTGCGCTAAACTCTTAAAATAAATATTCAATGTTCACATTCAAATAACAAAAGGACGTTATTTTCCACATCACGCAATTCTCGAGGCAGCTCAATGCCACTCCGGGCCATGCTAACTTCTTTATCGAATCAGTGAGAAAGCAAGCTAATACAGTCTTCGGCCAGAACCATGTCTAATATTTATAAATATTCCATTTGCGGTCGCATATACATTACAGACCATGGTGTTAAAAAACTACAACTGTGGAGAATGAACATTTTTATTGTCATTGTCTTGGTTCCGAGGAGAGTTAGCCAAGCATGGTAATGGCCGTAGCTAACTTTTGAGGACCATAATTGAAAAAGACCATTTAAATTATTTTACATTTTCCCGACAACCTCTTAAATTTGCACAGCTGCGCTCACCAATTTAAAGTTATTTATCAGACAAGTATGAGGTGTGAGGGGTTGAACTACACATAAGATGATCAAGGCATAAGAACATTTTTAAAAAGGACGACTTTTGAAATGTGAACATTAAAAAAGTGTTACATTGCACATTGCATTTGTCAGTAGAATGTCAGCTTAGCATTGGGCTAATTTCTGAAATGTATGTTAAAAATATATACATATATGCTGATGTGTGAAAATAAAGACTGGAATAGTTTCACGCACTAGAAAAGGACACTTATAAAAATATTTTTCCCCATACTTTGCAGCCAAACTGCAAATGTTAGCCATGATTTACCTGAATCTGCAAACGTTTTGGCCATGGGATATTATTGTATTGTAGGAACCTAACATTCTGCCCAATCAAAACAAAGGAAAACAACACGGTCCAAATGAAAACATTGGAATCAAAAGCAGGACCAGTGTGTTAATTTGGCTAATTCATGAACAAATCATATATGCACAGCCAGTTGTTGGAAATCCAACGATAACTAAAAACCCTTGTTTTTTTTGTCCATTTGTTTTCCATTCACACACAATAAGAAAATAGATTGGTCATAAACACTCACAAGCGCCTGTCTTGTCATTTTGCATTAGTACCACATGTATTTAAAACAAAAAAAAAGTGCAAACTTCTCGGACACAAAATGGCACTTGAGCAAAGAAATGTAAAATAACAATAAAATGTACATAAATACAACTGTATCCATTTATTTGGATAAGAACCAATTAAAAATAATGAAAAGAGTGCCAATTACCTGTTCAAAAACCATGCGGAAAAGAAACAAATCTTTTGAGGAAAAAAAAAAAGTACTTTGTTTTTAAAAACAGTACCTCTAATTTTATGAGAATGAAGTCCTATTTTTGGAGCCAGAAGTTGTACGCCCATAAGGAAAATAATCGTCTTTTGTTTTTTTTTTCAAGAAAAAAGTACAAATCTTTTATGAGAACTAAGTCGTCATTTTTTGGGAAAAATTGTATTATTTAAAAAAATTTTAAAATAGTCATCATATGAAAATGAAATTATATATTTTAAAGAAAAATATCCAGACAAAAATAGTAATCACTTGAAATACTGTATATAAAACTTTTCCAGAAAAAAATATTTTGGGTATTTTTTTGCCTAGGGGAAAAAAAGAGTAATCTAAAGAAAAAAAACCTGAAAAAAAGCAAAAAGGTAGTTGTTCCTTTTTTTTTGTTGAAAATTGTAATTTTGTGTGGGTGCCAGCGTGTTTGGCGGTGAGCTGACTATTTGCAATTTCGAGAAAAAAGTTGGGGTGTTATGTAAAATTCACATCTTAAAATATATATTTTTTTACTCAATATATTTCACCTTTCAACTTGTTGCGTTGCCCCTAAAAAAGAGCACTTCATTCTCATAATATTATGACTTTTTATGGAGAAAATGTGACTTTTTAAAATTTTCTCATAACATCACCACTTTCTTCTTGCAGTATAATTATTATTATTTTTTTTGTGACGCCACCGTAAAAAAAAAAACAACAAAAAAAAAACATCAAATTAAACCATCGTTCTCTGGACTTCACTGTGATGGATGATGCGTGCCTCTCAACACTGTGGAAAAGCAAAAAAAAAAAAAAACCCAAAAAAAAATTGTCAAAAACATGCCATTCGAAGAAAAAGCAACGTAAAACAGAAGCGGATGGACATTCAAAGCCTTTCAAAGCCTATATTGTGGAACCCCAGCAACAATACAAATGCTATATTGTGGAACCCCAGCAACAATAAAAATTAAATCCATTCATACATTGTTTTTTAAAAAAAAAGGGGAATATAAGATGTCATTCTCTCCTGATGCCATACAGGATGCAATCAAGGCAGCCATGTTGTCCCGCCGTGGCGTCCACCTCCTCAGTTGCTCGGCGTAACGAGTCTGTTCTCCAGATCAAAGATGATCCAGGTGACGACCTCCCTGGCCGGCGAGGAACTTGGCCCTCCCTCAGCATTGTTCGGACACGATGAAGCCCTCCTTCTCGTGGCCCGCCGGCTCCACCTCGGCGTAGGACGGGTGGCCCGAGCCGCGGCGGAACTTCATAGCCGGCCACCTGCTCGGCCGTCTCTGAGGATCGGCGTGTTGACAACAACACAATGTTAGCTCATTTCGTTAAGCCTACCATCGCGAGCAATTGTTGCAGCCTTCAACCGTTTCCTGGACCCAGTACCCCGAAAACATGATAAGCTGTCCCCGCAAGGGTTCATCTACATATTCCGCAAGAAATATTCACGTAGGGGATGTTTTATATGGTCTTCGGGCGCGCGTGGCTCACCTCGATCAGGAAGAGGCTGGCGGGCGCCGGTGGTTAGCCATTCATGAGCTGCTGCTGCGCTTCAGCACGTCTAAGCAAGAATTAATGGCAAGTCAAGTCAAGGTGAACGCTTTACATTCCAGACAAAAAAGGAGGACCAGCGGATGCTGGCAAAGATCATTGAAAAGTCAGCGCGAATACATTTACAGACGGCTTTGTATGCTGGCTTTTTCAATCCCTTCATGGAAACCGCGTCGATGATTGAGACGGTTTTATAAGGAACAACACCAAAAACCAGCGTGAGCGTTCACACCAGTGGAAAGCAAGTCAATCATTTTTCGAAGCAAACAGCGTGGAATGTATCCATGCCATTTTCTTTGACGGTATCTCCCTACTATTGTGCTTTTAATTAAGTACGGCCTCCACCGAGCTCACCATTAAATCGGCATCTCCCATGGACTGCTTGGTAACATTTGATTTTCCAGCACACGTAACAATCAAAGCTGTACAACAGGCTCTTAAATTGCATTCACGCTCGGGGAAATTTAAAAGCCCAGCGCGAATGCTCCAGGCTGTTAGCAGCCTGGCAGGGTTGATAAAATAGATTCCCCACAACGGCGCAGCTGTCGAACCTGCGGGAGGTAAATGCCTTGCTCTGCTTCCTTTAAACGAGTAGATTTATACTAGTTCCCATTTTGGGGCTTTGATATCTGCAAAGAAGGATGCCATGCAACGCTAAGTGGAGCCTCTCTTTATTATGACAAATTGGAAGATAAAGGAAAGTTAGTCGCTTCAGAATGATCACAAAGATCTGCTGTGAAGATTTTCTGGACGCACACGTTTTTTTCCTGAGACACACAATACCGTACGCGAACATCATCTATTTGTGCTTGTCAAACCTCAGAGACGTCCTCTTAAAATGCTGTCAGATTAATTTCGCCGTGATGTGAGTCTCAAGCGGCCTTCAGCCTGAAGAAACGGTCAAATGAATCCAATAAAAACGGCGCAGTGTTGTGCGAGCCCCACCATGTTTTTAAAGACGAGCCTTCTTCAAATGTGGCCCATGGGATTGCAAGTACAACTCCAACTGAGGAGTCCCAAGGTCAAAACGACAGAATATGTACTGCTACCTGAGTATTCTGTGATATTAACTCATTCAGTACCAGCCAATTTTAGACCAAGTCTGAAAAGACGTTTAAAAACGTCTTTGGGAGTGAATGAGTTAAGGCCATAGGTCCCGAATCACAAAAAAAAAAAATTCCTGACCACTGTATTGTCCCTAACTACCGTATTTTCCGCACGAAAAGGCGCACCTAAAAGCATTCAATTTTCTCAAAAGCCAACAGTGCGCCTTATAAGCAAGCGCCTTATACATGGTGTTACAGTCTCTTTGTATTCCCTATTGAATTGTTTCCCTGTAAGTGTTCCTATGCCATCTAGTGGTGATTATGAGCAGGAACCAATTGTAACCTAAAAAGGTTTTCTGCACGACACAAATTGCCATGTGCATTCGCCAACACACACTCAGACGACTACTTTGTGAGCTCTGCGCAGTCATTATGAAACAAAGATAACACCAAAAGCATCGATAACTACTGACTAAACGAAGGAAGAAGGAGACAAGTAAGACTTTGAAGGATATGCAGCCCCATGTGGAGGTGAGCCTTTTTGTCAAATCAATTATCTTCGTAACTTTGGTCTTTCATTTATTGTTTTGCAATGGCATTTGTATTTATGCAAAGGAATAAATTTTTGTGCTTCGCGTCGTGCTTCATGCTACATCCAGAGGGAGCTACGCAAAGATCAATATTCAGATTTCTTGGGCGTCGTATTTTAAATGTTCTGTAAAGCGCTTTGTTACAGCTGCAGCGGTTGTGAAAGCACTATATAAATAAAGCTGTATTGTATTGTATTCCCTTTAGTGTAGCTCCATCTAGTGGATCCATAATGCAACCGCAGCTAGGGCTCTATATCAATAAAGCCGTATTGTATTGTATTACCTTTAGTGTAGCTCTATCTAGTGGATGCATAACGCAACCGCAGCCACTATTGTAGCTTCTATTCTATGCGCCTTATAATGCAGTGCGCCCTATATATGAAAATAGTATTAAAATAGGCCATTCATTGAAGGTGCGCCTTATACTCCGGAACGCCTTATAGTGCACAAAATACGGTACTTAAGTATTGAGTGATAATATCCAAAAATAAATACAAATTGCTGATTAGGGTTAAAAAAACAAACACAAAAAAACATTGCGGTGACAACATGAAGCACACACCTTGATTTTCTCTGAGATGCAGCGCAATCTTGGTATCATCTGCGAGGGCACAGACAAATCAGTCAGACAAAATAATCAATATTTCTCTCTGTTGTTTGATTTAACCAAAAGGAATCGCCCCCCCCCCCCCACCCAAGGTCTTCTTTTTCAACTCGATTAAAAATGTATTCTTCAACTAGAATGGTCCAACATGCATAATTCAGGCGATTAGAGCAGACTCTTGGCTTGAATATACGTGTGAAGTATGATAATGTCGCGTGACCCACTTCACGCAGACGCTTTCCAAACACACAAAGATTCGCCGTATGCAAATGCCCCAGACGTGTTTCACTGAACAAATTAATTCAAAAGGGATCTTTCATGTAAATTTCCAGACACGCTTTGGTGCGTCTGAACTTTGAAAACGAGATGGGCTAATGTAAATAAGCAGCTCGTTAAAGCCAATCCAAAGCCCCATTAGCGATCGCGAATACGGATCAGTAACGTCAGTGGAACGAGGGAGAAGCCACGAGAGACCCAAATGAATGGCTTCCAATGGTATTTATGCGAATAACAAAGACGTTGACCAAGTTTGAAGGACACCTTGTCCATTCTGCTATCATCAGCAAAAGAATGTGCCTTTCACACAGGATTTGCATGAGAGAGAACACCCCACGTTTAGCCTCCCGCCGCGGCGCTCCGGATCATGTGCTCTCGCTGCAATATCAAAGCGGTAACCTCTGTAACCTTTCATGCAAAACTCTTTTCGGAGGGACATGTAAGCATTGCAAGAGGAGAAAATTGGGAGACAAAAGGCACGGAGCGGGTAATGAGCCAAAGTGTGAATGTATACTGACGATCATCCATCAGCTGTTTTGAGAACGGCGAGGCAAAAGCGGCGTTGTAGACTCTACCTTCAGTTGGGGCGCTGGTTGGGGGCTGCGAGGTGGACAGTGGGGAGTCTTTGCTTCTGGCGGTGGTCTTGGCGCCAACAGATGTGATAAAGGGGTAGAGGTAGGTGGTGTCAATGATGTCACACAGCTTGTCCTTTGTCTGGAATGAACAGGATTTTTCAAAGTGGTTTTCCTGACAATCAAGGTTCCTGATTGCTTGGCTGCTGTTGCTCGCCGTCGGTCTATTGCAGCTGAGTACTTGAGGACTGAGGCTGAGTAAGTTGCGATGGTTCGCGATAAAACAATGTTATTGTTTTGATAAACTCAGTTACGAAAATTAATTGGTTCTCGAAGAAACTTCTTCAGTAGAAAATGTAAGTAGAGACGTTTTTTCCATGTAAATGCCCTAATCCGTTCCAAGCCCCCCAAAAATCAGACATAAATGTTTCCTAAAGCATAAAAATGCATCAAAATATGTAACAAGTACATGTTACAATTTGATTATTGCACAATAAATGAGAATTGTGCATAATGTAAAAAATAAAGAATAAAGAATAAAAATGATGGTCATTTAACTTTTAACAGCGTCCATCGTTTTTTGCCCTCTTTAGTCCATGTTCTCTCTCAGAAGCGGTCTTTGCCTGGCGTTTTGTAACGAAGTGAACCAAGGACGTTTGCTTTTTTCGGCTTTTAACAATCCTTTGAAAATGTCCAAGGCAAACATCAGCATAGTGAGCGATCGCCCGACTGGTGAACACTTTTTCTGCTTGATTCCCATTTACGTAAAAACTATCGGAACACCTCATGGCCCGAGGGGCGAATGACGAGGACGCTGCATAGACACATATCTCTCTTTCTAGACACATTTGGTAGAGGTTCCTCTTCGCCAATGGGATGCCAGGATGATGCTCCGTAATAGCCAATGGCAGAGGAGCTATCAGTATGTTGCATTCAGGAAACTCGAAGCTGCGAGTAGCGGGCCATGCTACAATTTTACCTTTCGCATCTTGAAATTTATTTCTCAACAAGAGGCAATATTTTCCGATTGAGACGTTTTGTAACTTGAAAATTTCGTATGAAGAGACGTTCGTAAGTAGAGGGTACCGCTGTGTTGTTTCTGGTGACTCGAGTATTGTTCCCAACTATATCGATATCAGTGTATTGTTCTTGCCTACTTGAGTAATGTTTTGACTCGCCAAATATTGATCCTATTCTCTGACCTCATCTGGACAGCTGTTGTCCACCCAGTCCTGCCGATGGCGGTCAAATCCACTGGAGCATCTAATGTGAAGAAGAAAATATATCAGTGGGAATCCACTTCACTGATCAAACAATTTTTCAGTACGCTCCATGAAGCAAACCGAGCTGAAAAGGAACCTGGCTTTTTTTTTTTTTTTTAAAGCCCTTTCAGGGACAGTCGTTCCTACAGTGGACAGCTTATCATGTTATCAGATGACAGGGTGCATGAACGGGTTAATCACGCCGCTGCAGGGGAGGTTCGGCTGTAGACTGGTTTACGTGAAGAAAGCACCGATGTGATGAAACGCAGTTATAATCGACTGCAATAATAACCAGGCGTGAGAAAGGGTCATTAGGCAGAATGGGTTTGATTCTTTTTGTGGATTTTTCCCAATTTGGGATCGCTATTTTGGATGAATCTTTGGTGTATGTTTGATGAAATAAACCGAATTTTCAAAGTCTATATTTCTCTATTGGATCCTTTGTGAGGAGTCACAACGGAGCATTTCAGGCAAATATGCGGCCCGCATGTGGCCTGCGCTTACGACCCGCAGCAGCCCCACTGAAAGCACGGAAGGCATCTAGACTATTAAAAAAAAAAAATAAAAAAAAATAAAAAATCTGGAGCTGCTGCAGCCTCGGTCGGCACAAGCCATGCGGCTCTTGTTTGTTCAGGTCGTTCTCTTCAAAATGTCAGCACCTCACGTTAACCGTGCACCCCCAGGAGGCCGGGCACGTTTTTTTAATTAGCGTAACCCGCACAGGAAGCAAGCAGATGGAAACAACAGGACCGAATCGTTGTTTAAACACACTTGGCTAGCTAATTAAAATGTGGCTTAATGAGACGGCAGCTACGGGCAAACAGCATCCCTCCATAAATTACCCACATTATATACAGTACATATTTTTTTTTTCTGTGAATCACTTTGCCCGGGTTTAAAAAGCGAGGCCGGAGGAGAGTCCTAAATAACGAGGCCCATGGGAGCCGGTCGCATAATCAACCACAAAATAAAAGACGAACATTCCATTAAGAGGGCATTGAAAGCGGATGAAACAGACAGAAACATGACATCCATTTTCAATTGACTGAACTGCTTCTCAGCTCGTCCACCTTTTCGTTTTCTCCTTTAATGCGAGCTTTTGCCGAGCGGGCAAAAGAAAAACTCCCCCGCTTCATCTGCCAGGAAACATGGATGCCTCTTAAGCAGTTGTAATATTGACTTTGGTTTTGATTCGTGTGGAGTGGGGAAAAAAAAAATGCCGATGAAAAAAAACATCACATAACATCCTGGGCAGAGGTAACCATGTATGTGCTCACCTTTTCACGCTGTGTTATCAAAGCAGGTCGGAAACAGTCGACCCAACTTTCACCCCTAACCCTGACCCCATAAACCTGAACCCAAAACCTAACCCCAAACCCTTTACATGGCCAGTGAACATTAAAATGATTTGAGGCTTGATAGAAAGTGCTGTGATCAGTTGAAACCTAAGCTGCAATCCAGTGAATGCTGGTCATAGCAAATGTTTCACATTTGAAAACTTTGTTAAAAGACGAATGCCAGACCGTTACGCAATCAAGAGGAAATGATTTCTTTTACAGATCATTACCGGGAATATACAATCAGGATGATTTGTGGACCGTGTGCTAGTTTGCGAGGGTGTATGTGCCATCTGTATTGTATTTACACAACAGAGCCATAAAAAGCAAAGAAAAACATCAACACTAATAAACAGGCATTCCAGTAAATGCACTTGCCGGAGCAGATCATCCATCACAGAATATCACATTTATTACATTCAAGGACATCACGAAAGGGCATCGTGATACTTAAAAAATGAAATACATTTCATGCATCGGTCCACCCGTTTTTACAGCACTTCAACTCAATCGGGTGATCCTAACATGCATATTTTTTTGAATGCAGGAGGAAGCCAGAGTACCCCGAGAAAAGCCACCCAAGCACGGAGCAGAGTCAAACCTGAAACTTTTAGACCGGTGGTGTCAAACTCATTTTTGTCGCGCGCTAGATTTTTGTGAGTTTCTCGTGGAGGGCCGTTATGGCTGAAACCATATAAAAAAAAGTCAAGAATAACGGTTTATTCACCTAGTGTTTAAGTTACTGTAATGAGAGGTTTGGTTACAAGAAAATGCTTACAGTATCACTCTTATTTATTCAAAATGAGAATTTGAAATTTTGCTAGACATTTTAGCAAGTATCATGAAAGTTGCCATCTTTGATTTGCTTCCGCGGGCCACAGAAAATGATGTGGCGGGCCAGATCTGGCCCCCGAGCCTTGAGTTTGACGCCTGTGCTCTAGACAGTGTGGCGATCGTCCTTACTACTATGTCACCGTGCTTCTCAAAGATCATCATGATTGTCCTTTTTTTTAAATTATTATTTTTTTTTATGCCAATTTCAACTGAGCAAAGCGTCTTTCAACCGTTTACTGAGGTTTGAGATCTGCGGCTCAACCGACCTGTTGAGGCGATGGCACCAGCTGCAGTTGAAGTTAACCTGGGAGGAGATGCACGTTCGACAGCTGGTGAACTGGAGACAAGCTGCAGACGGGAAACATTCTCTCAAATCCAAGACAGGGAAGACACGGATCGAGTGGGTCGAGAATGTCTCTTACTGGGCAATGGTGTAAATTCCACGGCAGAGGAGTTGGTGAGTCTCGTCTTGGTCAGCTCCACACGGTGGTACTCGTAGATGGTTCGCCGCCTCACGTCTATATTTTGGGGAAAGGCGAGGCAGGAAGTGACAGAGGGAAAGGGGATGCAAAATAAATAAATCAAAAAGCGGGACAAACAACCCCCGAAGAAAGAGGGGAAGACAGCATGAGGCAGAATGAGGTCAAATCGGGGAGGCCCACTTTTTGCACTTAACGTCTCCCGCTCTCCTCTCTCTGTGCGCGGTGCCAACCGGAGGCGGCAATTTTCTGTCGTATAAATCAGAGCCCGCTGACAGGCATGCGCGCTACCAGCGAAGGAGCCATAAGCCGGGCGAAGACGGGGAGGGATGCGTGCGTTCCATCACCGGCTCTCATTGCTTTGCGGCCCTAATAACTCAAAGCTCAGGGGGTCCTCTTTTTTTTTATATTTTTGCTGCCCGTGCATGTTCGCCGCAGGGAGAGGAACAGGAGACAGATGGGATGCATCATTTGTTATGTTGAAACAGACAGCCCCAGAGAGCACTTTTAGCAGATTGATTCTTAGGTATCAGGAATTCAAGGGAGGCCTGGCAGGTGGAAATTCAGCACCGTTTACTTAAAGCTTGATAAATTATTCTGCATTTTGGAGAGAATATTTGGTTGACAGTTTGCACATTCCAATGAGATCCAATGCCAACAACTGGATCGAAAACGGTCTAACTAGTCTCGATGACTTTGCTGTATAAAAGAAGTACCGTATTTTCCGTACTATAAGGCGCATTCAATTTTCTCAAAAGCCTTATCATCCGATGCCTTATATATGGACCAATATTAAGATTTTTTTTGGACGTAGTATTTTAAATGTTCTGTAAAGCTCTTTATTACAGCTGCAGAGGTTGTAAAAGCTCGATATAAATAAAGTTGTATTGTATTGTATTCCTTTAGCGTACCTCCATCTAGTGGATGCATAACGCAACTGCAACCACTATTGTAGCTTCGAATCTTTGAGCCTTTTAATGCGGTGTACTGTATATATGAAAACAGTTTCAAAATAGGCCATTCATTGAAGGTGCACCTTATACCCCGAAGCGCCTTATAGTGCGGAAAATACGGTAGTGTATTTGGGAGAAACCACTTTTTTGGGGGGGAGGGGGCTGTTTTGAAAGAGTAATTGCATAAATGGATTCTTTCACAATTAGCCCAAGTGTGAGTGTGTAAGAAGTGGAAAATGTTGTTTTTGATGTTTTATTATGCGAGCACACGCCTTAACAATAGCAGTGGCAAATACAAAGCATGGACATAAAAAAAAGAAAAAAAAAAAAGCATGTGTCCTTGTTGCGCAGTATTTGATAATAACAGCACTAACTGTCACATGTCTTTACAGAACAGAAACTCTTGATGGCTCGACGCTTCCCTCCATCTGCTGACATTCCTAATTTCTACTTTTTGGCGCTTTTCATGTCTTGAAATTAATTAGATACAGCCTGTAATCATTTTCTATACTTGACGAAAATGATTCTGCCTGAAAATATCTTCCCGCAAGACCAAAGTGATAAAAAAAAAAAAAACTACAAAATGCGATAGCTCCATAAAAGAAAAGAGACTGCGATTATAGCTGAGGACTCACTCGGTATCTGCTGGATTTTGTGGACCACCACAAAAGCGTCCGACAGGCCCACCTTCACCGGGTGGTTAACCGGGCTGATCTGCGACAGTTCGACGGGGATCTGAAAGACAACGAAGGGAAATGTATCACAGCAAGACTAAGTGTGCTTTGGGCTATTTATTTTTATAATCTGAATGAGTTCTTGCCATTCAAGTGCATTTCTATTTCTTAAGGTGACAGTTGTGATGAATAACGGAACTCTACCTCTTTGTAAGCAAAGATGATGCGACCAGTATCGTGCAACGTGGCCTGGAACGTGAAGCTGCCCAGGTTGTAGTTGTCTTGTAAGTGGACGTGGTCCCACTGCACCACCAGAGCGGTACCTGAAGGGGTCAATAACACATTCCCGCTGCTCATGAGCTTCACATGCAGTGGACCAATCAAGTTTTTTTTGTTGGTTTTTTTTGGTGGGCGTCTGCTTCCAAGTTGTAGCTGATTGAAAAAAAAAAAAAGCATGTGAGCTGATATGAAAGCCCAGGACCGGTGCAATAAAAACAGCAAGCCGTGGGAAAGCGAATCAAGGCAGGGCGGTTAGGATGATGGATTTTGTAGCACTGGCAAGATTTAAATCAGACTGAATGACGCTGCTGTGCATTACTTATTCTTATGTCCGGAAAAGAAAAGAACACCTGGCACACTACAGTAGGACAAAATGTTGAAATGAGTTTTTTTTTTTGAGTCATACATGGCAATGGCGAGTGATGAAAAAAGCGGAAGGGGCGTGGCCTGGACGGGGCGTGGCCTGGAAGGGGGCGTGGTTACTTACAAAAGTGGCACTAAACATGCTGAAGATGAAGTGTATTAAATTTACACAGTTTGAAAATTGAACAGAAAAAAATCCCAAGATCGCCACTATTCTTTCAAGTGAAAATTTGTGCAATTTTGCCTGTGCATTCCTGGTGAGCACCAATATGTAACTCCAAATTTGCTGCTCAAAATCAAAACTAAAAAAGTAAACACATCCCCTGCCATATTTAAG